AACGTCCAACAAAAATAAAAATAATAGTTCTTTCCCAGCTTATAAAATATTATGAAGGCAGTTTTGATTAGCTCAATTCCTTGCAGAGCTCGTGTTGGTCCAAAAATGTAATTCTCGATCCTGCGTCTGTGCAACTTTCGCTTGAAATCCTTTTGACCACTACGTGATTCGCTTTCTTAGAAACTCATTTACATAGTTAGTGGCCAGAAATGAACATTGAAAATTGTGATGCCACAAGTTGACGAAAAAACAATTTCTATGATTTTTCTTTTTACATATCTAGGATTGATGATTCTTTAAATTGATGATATTTGTTACCAGTTTTTGATCTACTAATCCTAATTCTCATATTTTATTTAAATTTTGATCTCTCTAAGCTCAAGTATTGTTGTGTTTTCTTATGTCAATTGCGGAAAAAAGCTAAATAGTTTCGAATAGAGGAAAGGGTTTACTTGAATAGTTACTCATTTTCCAAATTTGAGCCAAGAATGTATACCAATCACAATTAAAAACTGCTGAGCTTAATCGAATAATACAGGTGTAAGTATTATAAGAAGGATTACATTAATACCCACCCATTTTAATATAATGAATTGTTTTTTTGTGATTACGTTTCATTCTTTAGTTAAATTATTATTTGCTTAATTCAAATACTTTTCATTGGTCTCTTCGTTTGCTTCTCGGAAGCACATAATTAGCTTCAAAGTTAGCTCACACGCCCTTTTAGTTTTTGATGTACACATATCCTCGATGCTAGCGGATATTATATCCATGTGTACGAATAACATTTATATCTTTGTTGTATCCAAATGCTCTCATTGTTTTGAAAACAGAAGAGTTGGAGACTGGTACGATAATTAGCAAACGTTTTCTTGTCGACTTCCTAAAATACCACCATCTACCCGCACCACAAACTTAAAAAAAAAACAATATGTGGCAATTAAACGTTGAATATCATTTTCATTTTCATTCCCTTGGCAGATTGTTCTCATCTCTTTTTATTCATTGTAAATATTCTATAAAGTTCTTAATCGTCATCGTATATTTATCATATATAATTTTGTTGAGCAATCTTTATGCACCGGAAATTGAGATTTCCTATCGTCAAACGTGATTGTAAAAAATTAACTACGATACATGCATTAATAAAAAGGAAATTGTTCAGAGATGTGTCATAATAAAATGTTACTTCGAGAAAAATTATGCGTTAGTATTTTGAAGAATTGAAGCTGATGAGAAGTTCCTACAATTCACAATTTCATCACACCAGATACATATATGTCATTATTATGTTACCATAAAACTATCATTTCATGAGAATAAGCCACATCATATTTTATTGAAAAATTAGAAATTATTTATTTATAGCAAAAAGCGTTCCTGTACAATTGGAGGATAGCCTGAATATGAATTATTTGTTATGAAACCAGTAGAAAGTTTTTTTTTCGAAAAATATTTGATTTTTTAATGAACGAATCAAACATTGAATGTTTTCAATTCGGAACCAAAGTTTGATTGAATATTGTCAATTCACGTCACTCCATTCTTTTAACGTTTGAATACTCTTTAAGAGCATCTGATTATAATTTTACGCATATTAGCTTAAATTCTCGATATGCAAAAAATTTTAATATAACTTAAAAAAAAAATATATATATATATATATGTATTTTTTAAATATATTTTTATATATATTTTGTTAAAAAGTTTTCAAGTTAAACTAAGTAAAAACAAAAAAATCGGCAATGTTATACTATTCGAACCGGTTTCTAAATGAGGTGTTCAATTCGCTCAATTGGGACCGTTAGTTGATTTGGATGAACTCGACAAGTGCATTAGAGTTCATCATTTTTGGTTGTTTCGAAATTCCATCAATGTACATATATACACTTATTAAGTTCTATTTTATCTGGACATCCGGATAAGCGTTCAATTTTCGCTAAATCTCATCTTCTACGTTCTTCATAAATACTTTATAAATATTTTTGTCGAATATTGCCGTTTTAAAATTGAATGTGTGTAGGCGGTTGTTCAGGAAGTTTTTTAGGGAAGAAGTTTTTTTTTAATATTTCGCATTATTAAAGAATTCACCGGTCATGTTATTATACCTTTTTTTTCAACTGCCAGTGCCGGTTTTCATTTTAAGTAGTATAATTAAAAAAAAGAAATTTTGAATTTTTTCAAGAAATCTGCCAAACATAATTTTTCATTCACGAAAGTTTGCTAAAAAATTTTAATGATATCCGCCACCGTTCTTCTCATTCTATTCATAATTTAATTATTTTAATCAACAGTTTAACAAAAAAAAATCGAAATTTCCCCCTCCAGATGTTGCTATAAAGGTGAAATCAATAGAATTAGTAGAAAATACAGTATTGAGAGGATCGAATCGTACTACATCAGAAATACCCCGCTTTAAATTTTCTCTGATTTTATGTAAATGAATATGATAAGAAGCTTTCAAATCAATATTTTTCTTTCTTGCAAATTTACACGCTGACTTGATATTAAATGCACTTACACTAAAATGCACTTTTTTCCTCGAAACACTATGTCTTAAAGTCTTTTATTAATTTTGATTAGTCGTTTGAAATCAAGAATATATATATAGGGAACAAAAAATTATGCTAGTCACGCCCAAACAGACAATACTTTTCCATTACTTCAAAAAAATGTATGCAGTCGCTCGCAATTTTATTCAACGCATGAAACATCGATTTTGAAACAAATATAAACAAAATGATAAAATAAAATTGAAACCATTATTTGCCCGGAATTGAGAGAATTGGTCAACTTTCTGATTTTTCGTCTCGTTAAACTATCCTATGTGTGCCATTTTTTCCGTGACATTTTCTTGACTAAATAAGAGAAAAATCCTAATCCGTGTATGTTTATCGGACACGCTAGTTTTGAAAAGAAAAAAAAACTGCGAATCAAGCCTAGTATCAGTTTGCCATAGTAAAACTGCATGTGGTAATTGTGCAGGATTTGGCACAATTGATTCTTAGTCATTCGTGGTTTTTTTTTTTGAGATCTTTCCTTACACGTGACCTTGTGTGCCCAAATAATCGTCATCAGTACCGCTCTAAACAAACAAAAATTGGCCATTTTCAATATTTTTAGGTGTGATCAATTTCCTCTTTTCGATTTTTCTGTGTACTGTAGGTATGGAATGCGATTTTCTTTTATAAATCTTTCGCGAGGGCCAAATTTTCATTCGCATTGATATCAGACGGAAGTATTACAGCAAAAAATCATATAAAAGATTGTAGATATCGATTTCAGCTATTCACAGACACCAAAAGTTATTGAACCCAAGTTTTTCTTTGCTTTAATTGAAGTAAGAAGTCTTTTGAAAAATTGCCTATTTCATGGATTGACCTCTATTTTTTTTCTAATCTCACCCTATGATTATTCGATCGGAAGTAATGGTGTGGAAAGTGGAATTGAACCCCGATTAGCCAGGTTTGAATGGATTTCGGTTCTTTACTTAGTTAGTTGAGATGCGGAAAATGGCATCTTGCAGACAATGTGAAGGGAGAGAATCAATCTTAAAAGAAAAACGGCTGGGCAATTTTTCAAATCCTCCATCCTCTTCATTACCCTTCGATTGATTAATTTGAAAAAAAAAGGATTGCTTCTGTTCGTCCCACCCTGGTCGGACACAATTCTCTTTATTATCATTAACTGTCATACTGGCAGTCGCTCGGTGGATTTTTCGCCTTCTACCGCCAGGCAGAAGCCCAGGGGCCTCTTCCACCGCCGCCGCCGCCGCCGCGCCGCTTCTATCCGGTTTATCGTGCCCCGACTTGACTGTGTTTGCGGGATGCCTTTCGCTCTTTTCCATCTCCTCAAATTTTCCCGTCTTCGGCATTTTCGCTAACCAAGCAATATCTTTTCTAAATCATGTATACCTATTTTTTTCAATTCTACCATGGTAAATGGTTTTGTGGTTATGATTATGTTTGGATAAAAATGGATTGGTGCAATCTCTACTCCATATTTTTGGGATGATAGCCTACAATCCTTGACATAGATTACGGTACTACTTCTTTTAATTTAGCTATAAGGTATATATATGTATATACAATTTATTACAAGAATTACTCATCATTCTTGCGCAGACATTCTAATAGATTAATATATATTCATAATTTGTTTTTAGTTCGAGGTTATGCAAATTCGATTTGCTCTTCAATCATATCTAAATTAGAAACACTACAATAATTTTCCGACAAATACATATTAAACATAAACCTTATTTGAATTTTTTTATTAATATATGTTTTCAAGCAATTGTTAGTGTTCAAATTTTCTTAATTTTGTTCAAATCTTAAAATAAATACCAATCAACTATTAAACGCGAACGGGAAAAGAAGTAACGCGTGTTTTTGTTAAATCAAAATAATCGGTTTTTAAAATTTCTTTAAAAATATATAAAATCAAAAAAAAAAAACATTATGATTGTAGTGTTTGTAGAAAGTATTGAACACATACAATTCAAAAACAATATGTTTTGCATGATGTTATGTGTGCTGAAAATGGGGCATTCAATTTTAATTTTGAGTGGAAATCTCGATAAAAGACAAGAGAACAAACAATCAAACAATTTCCATGCAATCGTACCGCAAAAAGTGCCCTATAAAACTAACATAAAAACGAACAATCTTTGATGTCGCAATGTTAATAGTCATATAATTACATTAAATGCGGAACTCGGATAGTTTTAAAAATTCCAAAACCGCCCACTATTTTTTCATGCGCTAAATCAAGATTACCCACTTTTTATCTGATGGAACCCAATTAACAAAAAGAAAATTCTCATCTCGTCTCCATCTTTTTATTCGCCTACTGTTTTTGTCTTTTTCAGGTGTCGTCGTACTGTACATACAAATTGTAAACCAAAATTGAAAGACCCTTGTGATTTTGGAGAATTGAAAAGGAGTATCATCCCTCCTTATTGTATCACTACACGAAAACCAGGAAACAGAAACCAAAGAATGGTAAAAGCTTCTGTTTAAATATTCCTAAATTTTCTTTTTCAGGCTGTTATTGACGAAATTACAACTCCAGATGATTATTCCGATTGGAGACCAATTATGGTTATTGTTAATCCAAAAAGCGGCTCAGGAGCTGGAAAAGAATTGATGCGAAGATTTCGAAGCCATTTGCATCCCACGCAAATTGTCGATGTACTTAAATCAAATATTGCTGCTTCCTTAAGATGGATTGACGAAAATCCAAATGTAATCGCATTATTCGAATGCCTAAATTAATTGTTTGGTTTCGTTAAGATCAATGTTAGGATTTTAATTGCTGGCGGAGATGGAACCATTTGTTCAGCACTTGACCAAATTGACGCTCTGACGCGTAAAGTGCCAGTAAGTACTATGAGTTTTCTTTTTTTTTCCATACAAGAATTAGTAAACTATAAATGAATATAGATTATTGCCATTTTAGGTGGCTGTCTTACCACTTGGAACTGGAAACGATCTATCTCGAATGTTGAAATGGGGGAAGAAATGTGGAGGTGACATCAATGTCACCAAGGTATTTATTGCTTCGATTAATTGCATCATTGTATTATTCAATGTAACATTTCTAGCTGATGAAACACATTCAAGAAGCTGAAATCGAATACGTCGATCGCTGGACCATTGACGTTGAAACTCAAAAAAAAGTATATACATCTACCACGAATAATATCGTGACACTTGATTTATTGCAGTTGGGAGTTCGAATTCAAGCCAATAAAAAACTTTCAATGACCAATTATGTATCAGTCGGAGTTGATGCATGCGTCACGCTTGGAATGCAGAACACGAGAGAATCGATTCCGCGTGCCATGAGTAGCCGGTGAGTTGGGAAAACAAAATCGTATCAATTAGTTGTTACTGACCCAAATTGAGACCCCGAGTTTTCTGGAAAAAAATAAATCTCAACTATTACTCCGGAATTGAAATATTGCAGGTTCCTCAACAAGTTTTTGTTTTTCACTTATGGCACTAAAGACGTTTTCGAGCGCGTTTGCAAGGGCCTCAATGACAGAATTGATTTATATCTGGACGATGTGTAAGAAAACACATAATTCACGCCAACATCTGACCAATTATTTGATTTAGTCTTGTCCAACTGCCGGATGTTGAAGGACTTGTGTTCTTGAACATCCCATATTGGGGCGCGGGCGTGAAACCTTGGGAAGCATTCAATGAGACTCTTCCACAGAGCTGCGATGATGGAAAAATAGAGGTCTTCGCGGTGACATCTTCATTCCATATTGCGCAGATGCAGGTGAAAAACCAACAACGTCATTAGTTATACGAACAATACATTTGCATAGGTCGGTCTCGCGAATCCAATTTGCATTGGTCAAGCAAAAGAAGCGAAACTTGTTCTCAAAGGGAATGGAATCTTCCCCATGCAATCGTACGTATCATTAAAAAAAACCAAAATCATATTCTAAAAGCGATTTCGATAGTTTATAATTATAAAACCGGGTTGTTCAGGGACGGAGAGGCATGGGTTCAATCAGCTGGAACAGTGAAGATCTCACACAAATGTCAAACTGTGATGCTTTCAAAAAGCGAAGATAAAAGTCGTATGGGATGCGGAATGTTCTTTTGATCGCAAATTCTTGTTTTCTGCTTCTTGATTTTGACTACCGCTTCTACTTGTTTTGAACTGACTCAACTGTATTACCAATTTCGAGTGATCTCAATCATTTACACTTGTTTTCAACAGCCTATTTCATTATTTTTTATTATAACCAATCTGTCATGTTTCATGTTCAAATATAACATTTTCATGTTAGTATATTGCGCGGTTTCTTTCACGTAATTGTTGTAAAGATATTTTCTTGTTATTTAAATAATATTTAAATGGAATTTTTAATGAATATAAACAAATTAAAGTCAAAAAGCTGGTTTGATTATTTCCATTGAAGAATACAAAAGTAACGTTTTGATAAAGGAAATTATTCACAAATTCCGTATTTTTTTTGGTTCATATTAAATTTGTAGCATGAAATCTTGTTTATGCTATTTTGAATAGTGTTTTTGATTCCAAAATCTCGCATTTTTTTCTGAAATAATTATATACATATTCCAGTCTAAAGAACAAGAATGTTTCATTGTCGCAGAATTTTTTGTTGAATTAATTCTTTATCGAGCAACTTGTGAGATTAACGATGTGCTATATTCGTTTGCCATTCTTTTTTATGTACATAAATGATTTCAAGCATCATTGTTTCCTGTCATCTAAATTTGAAAGAATTAGTTTAAAACAAAGATAGCTAAAAATGCCAGAAATGTGTGAGCAATGCAGATAGGAAAAGAATATGATGCAATGTGCCCGTTCCTATATTGAATGTGTTAAAAAGTTTCAATTTTATTCAGCTGTTTTGCTATTTTGTCTCTTCGCCATCTGAATATGCACATTCATAGTTTTAATTAGAACAAAATGACAAGAATTACCTAAATGTAAGATTTTTAAAATTTAGCTGTTGAAGTTGAATATTCAAATTATTCATAACATAACGCTTTCTGAATTCAAATAAATTCGAATTAAAGCTAAACCAAAACGTATTCAATTATGTTGAGAAATGTTAGCGTGACAACTCTCAGAATACATACATTTTCTGACCAAATATGCTAACTAGTTTGTCTCAAACAAAGCTTCTTTGGTTCGCAACACACATTCGCAATTCCCTCTGGCATTTGCGGATATGAATTGATTCGCATTACTCGTTTTGCAGTTTGCAGTTGTTTTGTTGTACATTCATGAATAATCACGAAATACTTCATTGGCAATCGTTAAAACCGCGATATGAACAGAGCGCTGGCGCGCAAATATATAGTTGCTCAATGCACTCCTGCTTTCGAAAATTCATTTATGCTTCTCTTCCCCACTTTTCCCATTTCTTCATACTAAATGTTAGCTCTGTTTGATTGATCCAAATTGTCGCAACACGATATTTTAGAAACTTCAATAACTATTCGGTCATTGTTTAATTTCCGAAATTTGAAATTTTAAATGTCCGCGTTTTCACGTGATGTGCACCGAAGCTTTCATTAATACATTTGTAAGGTTTGTCATCTCATTCAACTTCTGCTGCATCAAAATTGAAAAAGCCGAGGCAGATGGATTGGGATCTAAGATATAAATGTGGGTGGTCTCTTGTTCATCCGGTTGTTTCCCAACGCGTATTGTCTTTGGAAAACCTCATTTTGCTTTCTAACATTTCACTGACTTACAATTCATAAAAACGCGTAAATAAATGCGTTTTTCGGCCGAATCAAATATATAAAATTGGTGTTTTATGGTCTGTGGGGTTATGATTTATTCCCAATGATTTCACTTGAATATCAAAATAGTCATATATTTCATACCCCGTCTCTCATCGTGAAAAAATTTTGAATCTTCCATTTTACCGCCAACCATATGTTTCACTTTCAAGTGCCAACCGACAATCGACTTGTTTCCTATCGCACTAGTGAAATGAAAAAAAAAATTTCAAAACTGGACCAAGTCACCTAACAAAAATGCGATCTCCAACCAAAATTTGTTGATTTTTCAATATATTTGTCACGTTTGCAGTTCTGTTCAAAAATCCCTCATTTTTCTTCATTTTCTTTGACGAATTGAGCCAATTCATGCGCAAGCATTCATTAGCAATGTTGAATGCTGTAATAGAGTATTGCGTGTTGTTTTCACGATTGATATGAATGTGGATATCGAATGCATAATTCTGCGCAAGAAAAAAACCTTCCTTAAGTTCGACCAACCTGCTTTCAAACTAAACCAGACTATTAAATATTGCCTCGTCATTATAAGCGCGCTTTTTTCCACTTAAACTGGGTCTCAAACACATCAAATGTTATGGGGCCCCATTTTAAAAGGAAGCACTCCTCTCTTTTCCCAATACGTTAACATGTATATATATATACATATATATTCCATACTGAACAAAAACAACAAAAATCTGATCTCGTTAGTGGATGTTTGTTTATTTTTTAAAACTCATTTTTGATCTATTTGTGCAACAGTGAAATGATGTCATTGAGATGAAATAAAGGACACAAAATGGGCCTCTTTTGCTCATTTTAAAGCACCTCGTTTTTTATCAACATAAATGTGAGCGTGCGTACATAACACCTATCTTTTCCGTGTTGGGAAGCACTTTGTCCCCATTTTATTCAAATATTGCAAAACGTTTCACACGAAGGCAATAGTATTGGACCAACGCTGATGTTTGAGTTTTCTTCTCGTGCATTCTGCTGCATGGAAGAAAAATTATTCCCAAAGCAGTAAATAAGTACTTTATTGGATTTCCCTGAATATGGTAATTTCTAAGCCTTCTAATCACTCATTATTATTTTCAAATTCTATGTAATTTAAGGGCGCTGCAGTTCAAAAAAAAAATGAGGAAATTTCATTGCAGTAAAAAAGAAAAATAATCATTCTCCCTTTCTTTCTTTTTCTCATTTAAACTGCCTTGAAATTTTCTCAGTTTTTTTTTATTTTTACTGCATCGCCACTTTTAAAAAGATTATAGGCTGTGTAGGATTTCACACTTTGAAATATCACGAAAGAGCTATTTGGTTCGTTCGAATTTCCTAGGCGTATATTGATAAGACAAAACTGACAATATCTGTTCACTTTTTTCGCCAGTAGCTGGTTTGTGGAATCTCTTCCAACAATCTTTTCTCCCGCCTCGTCTCCTCAAAACTTCCTGGCGGAATTCATTTTTGTTAGTTTTTCGTTCGAGTTTGTAATCGCTTATATCGTCGACAATTTTTTAAATACCGACGCGAAGTGAGCGCCGTGGGTGGCCATGTTGGTGTTTTAGTGGTCGGCGCGGCCTCGTCGCGCCTCGCGCGCACTCGCGCGCGTCTCTTCCCGCATTCGAAGACCATTAACGCGGCGAGATAGTAGTGTTCCTCAACGGCGCGACGGTGGCGACGAGCCCCGGGCACGAGTGAAAAGAGGGTTGAAAAGCGCGCCACGCCGCAGAGAACTAGAGCGGGGGGCATTTTTGCGGCGTTTATTCAACACACGGAAAGCCGTGCATCGAGGGGGGGGGGGGCATCGCTACGGAGAAGACAAGCCGGGTGTCGAAGGAGGCGATCGCGGCCGCTGTTGCCGCCTGGGCGCGGCCACCATTCAGGCCACCACCGATTCTCGCGCTAAACACTTTGTCGTTGAGCATCTCACAGACGTTCATCATATTACTACTCTCTCCCTTTTTAATGTCCGCTTCTATTGTCAGTCTAGTTCGCTCAGCTGACATGATTCCCGCCGAAAATATCATTTTCCACGTTGTATGACGGCAATACAAATGTTCAGATGCTCGCTACAAGCAAACCTCCACCGAAAATTGCAGTCTCCTCCATTATTGTTTGGCCCCGAATTCAATTCATGGGACACAAGGAATTCATGTTTGGCCTCTGCAACCGCCCTTGGCTGCATTCATTACTTCCCATTTTTTTCTTCCATGCCAATCAACGAACCTTAATTATTCTTTCAGGAAGAGTAGCAATAGAGTAGACATATGTGCCAGTTTTAACAAACAATGAAGTTCGTTAATATATGAATACAATTATCGTCGCGTTTAATTAGATTGTCTCAAACATCTACAAATATAATTGATGATCATTTCAGGAAAGATATGTCACTCTACATGTATTCCCCAAATCTTCCATTCATCGTAAGTTTATCTTATCGCAGGCTGTATAGCAGATATTTGTGTTTCAGTATGAGAACCCGAAGTCATATTGTGAGATGTGCAAAATCTGCAACAAACCGTTTAACTTCACTAATTTGGATTTTCACTTTGAAAACGGATGCGCAGCAAAAATGTAAGGCTAGATGTACAACGCTTAATGATGTTGATCAATTTTCTTAGAATGGAAATGGAAAAGGAGAAAGAGCGACTCGCCGCATTGTCTGGCGAGAAATCGAAACAGGGATTTCCTGTGAACCATTCTGGAGCAAAGCCATTCTATATTACGGTGCCTATCCGCGCAGACGTGAGTTCATTTCCTGAAACTCTATATTCATCTTTTTTTCGGTTTTCCATTTTCTCATGCATGTGTAAGAAATAGACAAAACGAAAAGAAATTTCAAGTGCTCTTTCTCATTATACTGAATTGGAATGCTCTATTAGATTAATCGGAGGGAAATTGAAAGGATGACTGTTGAACCCAGTAGTTGGTTTTTTTAATGGAATGAGTTTATTTATCTGCAGGAACCGGAACCAGCAAATAGGAAAAGAGCATCGGCTGCACAAGACAGAATAGTGATTTCAAGGGAATCGCGCAAGTTGTTGAAATCAAAAATTCTAAGCGCTGAGCAACCAAAGTCTTGCACTTCAAAGAAAGCTACCGCAACCAAGAGAAACAACAACAAAACTAATACTAACGTTGTATGTGAGTAATTTTCGTTCAATTCAGAATGTAAACATCTCGTCTTTTTTTTCAGAAACACTAAACTGAAACATGATAACATTGCCTGTCTCCGAGAGAAATTGAAATTTTTATGGGCCCAATTTCTAATTGCTTCTGTTTTTTTCGATGCTTCTGGTCTTCGATTTACGAAAAGATCTGTTTTGCATGTAGTTTGTTACCATTTTCATTCAATTGCGGAAATTAGGATTTGGCGAGTTTTCTTGATAAGGGAATGGTGATACATCTAATAGCATATTTTTTCAAATACATTTTATTCGTATTGAAAAGCTGATGATCTCTTTTAAACGTATCGTAAATGATATGAACCAATAAAAATTTGAGCTACTCATGTGCACACAATCATACTCCACCAAACAAAAATGCGATAAGTAGAAAGATCAATAAAAATGGAACAAAAAACAATAAAATTACGGATATACTGTTTGAATTGCACAATTTACTGATCCTTGAATATGTCATATTCGATAAATTGGGTTCAATACTCCACGAATCCACTTCAATTTACAAATCTCGCAATAAAATGACCTCATACGTCAACAATTGTTGCAAATTCAAGGGCATTTTCCATTAAATTCTGAGTGGTTCTGTAACGATTAATGACACAGAAGGACGTTTTTTTGGAAAAAGATTTGGTCTTACTTTTTAAACAGAGTACAGGGTGTCATTTAAGTTCCCGCACAACTTTGTAGACGTACATTTCTGAAACTAAAAGTCCAAATCAAACGAGACTCGAAATATTTTTTATCTATAGTATAACAAATATTTATCTATTAACTCTTTTCGATTCGGCCTCCTTTCGCAGCTATGACTTCACGAAGACGCTTTGGGTAGGATTCGACTGTGGTACGCAGGTATTCGATGGAAAGATTGTCCCATTCCGCCAGTAATGTCTTCTTCAGAGTCTCTACATTTTAGTGGGGTTTTGCGTTGACCTTCTCCTGCAAGACCCCATCACGGAAAAGTCAAGCGGGTTCAGGTCTGGGGAGCAATCAGGCTATTCGGATGACTTGATGAAGTCGGGAAAATGGGTCTGACACCACTCCTCAGTAGTTTTGGCAGTGTGGGCGAGTGCTCCGTCCCGCTGAAAGACCCATTTTTGCCCACCGAAATGCGTTTGGGTCCAGGGCATCACATGCTTCTCCAAAATGTCCCGAACGTAGACTTCTTTGTTCACTTTCACCCCTCTGATCCACGAAAACCAGGGGGCACTTCCCTGTTGAGCAGATGGCACCGAAAACCATCACACTGGCAGGATGTGAGGCTGGATGAATTGTTCTTCCTTTCTCAGAAGCTTGCTGGGATGTCTGGGCAAGTACTCAATGATTTTGTGAGTAGAATGCCGTCTCCACAGTGAACAGCTTCTCGTCGGAGAAGACAGTGACGAGGTGTTCTCCAGACCGCGTGCGAGCAAGAAGTCGTTTTGCTTTTTCGACGCGTCTCTGCTTGTTGACGGCCGATAGAATTGCCGCTTTTTGGACACGATATGGAGTCAGTACAAGCTTCGTTTTGACGATTTGTTCCATAGCGAAGATGCTCATTCCCATGTCTGACGCCATCTTTCTCATGCTCCTGTGGGGGTTTCGCCTGATCCTCGATTTGACGGCGTTGATCTTCTGAGGAGTGGTTACTGAGACGAGTCTTCCTTGTCTGGGAAGGTCACTGGTCGTATTTAGCTCCTTGAAACGTTTGATGGTGTCGTAAACCGTTCTACGAGGCACACCGACCCGTTGAATGATGTCTCTCGGGCTCACATTTTGCTTATGAAGTTCGATAATGGAAGCGCGATGGATGTTAGCCTTCGTCATTTCTCGGAAACACATCCGAATGAGGTGAAACTTGGAAAGTAAGTAAAATATACCTTATTTAACAAAAATAAGTTGTATTGGTGCACGAAAAGTGCATCAGCACAGCTCTTCATGGCGTCAAACTTTTGTGCGGGAACTTAAATGACACCCTGTATATATTCCATTAGCCACTTAAAAAATAATGGAAAAATGGTTCAATCAGATTTTTTTAAACCATCTAGGTTCAATTTTAGAAATAAATGTATTGGTAATAAGTACCTTGAACTCAATGTCCTGCAAATCCTTTTTATTGATTTGACCTAGGCGCACCAATATGGAAGATTAACCGGGTCATTGAACAAAGACAAGCAGAAAAAAAAACATTTGAACTAAAATAAACACAAACGACTCAATTCCGGAGGGAATTTCGCAGAGATTGTATTGAAAATAAGTGATTGCTCAATCTTAAATTTTACTTTTAAAACATAATATATGTATTATTATTGTTTTTCCCTCAGATGTTTAAAAATTTTACTCAAAAAATTTGAAATGATCAGATGACGAATTTTGGATCAACTTTCACTTTACACATTCTTTTGGTAATTCTGCTATTTTAAAATTTGATTACATCAAAACTTCTTATTCAATGGTGAATTTTCGGATATACTAACAACGAAAAAAAAATTAACAAAGCGACGACGAAAACATCCTATAAGGATTCGTATAACATTCATTTTGCCAGAAATCGCTTTCATACTTTTACACCCCTATATAAATCGTGGACGTATAAAAAACAATAGCATCATTAATTGTTTGGTATTTTAATTAGTATAAAACATCTGAGTGATTTTTACCAAATTTAAAAAATAAATTTTTTGTCAATTTTCAGTAGACGTTTTGACTACATTAATTTATTTTCTATAGTTCCTATAACTTTGTTTTATTTCCGCAATTATTTATTATTTCGTATACAGTTTAGTAGACATGTTTTTGAAAACGAGAGGGCAAACAGGGAATTAACGAATAATATATATACATAAATGTATATATTTTTTTGGTATTTCTTCTATATTTAAAAGAATAATTTTAGGATTAATAGGATGTCTCCCCCTTCCTTTATTTTTTAACCTTTAACAGAAAAACATTTTTTTTTAAATGTAGACTAGTCATTATATTGTTCAATTAAACCTTGCCTCTGCCTTAATCAACGGCAATTTGATCAAAACTAAATTGCCCTGCTTTCGCTCATTCATCACCCAACGAAGAAAAAAAAATGTTTTGTTACTCTAGAACTTTTCAACACGAGTTTTCAGAACATGTGTTCATTATTTGCAGGGGCACCAACAAATTTATGGAGCCACTACTAATTGTTTTTGTTGGATATTTCGTATTTCTGTCAAGCTCATACATATTGGCGGTGTAACGGATTCTATTTAGTTTTTTTTCAACAATCTACATGTTTTGCCACTTTGTGAGTGTAGTTATCTTTTCACTCATTCTTTATTCATTTTCGTTTAATGCATATTATGCATATTTGGATAAGCACAGTTTCGAAGTTCCGTAGACAAGGTTTCAATGCGGAAAACGATTAAAAACAACGCGCCCGCGGTGAAACATTTTTGCATTTTTCTGGACTATGCTATATTTGGGAATGCGGGAGCACGATCGCATCGACTGCGACAACTCACTCTGCCCCACGTTCAACTATTGCGCGCCTCTCCGAATTCTCTCAATTTTGAATGCTTTCTAAAAAGCTTCTCGTCACGATTCTCTTGTTTTCTGGATTTGTCTTTTTTGAAATGGATAAAATTTCGTCTAGTTCGAGAATTTCTTTAATCAACTTGTATTTTTTTTCTGTCCCTCAATTTTCGCGACACTTTCGTTTATTTGTCATTACATCGTTTCAGAATTACTGCCATTTTCAACAACATTAGCGGGAAATGCCGACTTTACATTTATTGGAATCCCGATTTTCAGTAACCTGACACCATAATTGGAAGCGTAAGTTCTCTTGGAAACATTTCTCTAAAAATTAAAACTGGTCATCATTATTTTTATCAATGAAAGGCCCTTATTATAAGATTAAGACCCGGAAACAGCAAAAGAACTTTCGCAATAAATCTACATAGATTATGAAGCAACCATCGTTGAAGCTCGCTTTAAGGGTTGAGTAGGCTTAGACTTTGTAATTTTCGTCTTCATCGAGTTATTGCTTCTTTTAAGAAAATTATAAAAATTTAATCGACTGTTTTCAATTAAATTAATTCTTCCAGCGATTTTTGTAACAGAAAAATTGTCTAACATGTGACAATTGAAAGTTGTTTGTAGTGAAAAAAAAATTGACAAATCATCCCTGGCAAAAAATAGTAATAGTTCAACGCGGCTTTATAATGTTATTCATAAATTTTGATATATGCACAAATTTCTTCAATTTCCTATTCATAGAAAAACACTAATTCTTGGAATTTTTGAAAAAAAAAATTTGAAATTGAGGAAACGTTTTTTTCTAAGACATTAATAGTCGGGGCTCATCTTTTTGAATTATTCAAAAATGTGATGGCTTTTCCAATACCCAGACATTTTATTTTTTTTTCTCACTGTTTGTAAAAATATGTCTGTGATAGTCCTACAACAATCAACATAACTATTTTTCACAATAACCAATCTAATGGGAAAATAAATAATGACGGAATAATAGCAAAATGCTAGAAAAATTCTGAAGAATTTTAACTCAGTTTTTCCTTTGACACTTTTGCATTATCGTTTTTTTCTGCGAAGTATGTGTAACTTAACACAATTGAAAAAATACATTTTTAACTGACTTTTTGGTTTCTTAATTTTCTAAATCATGTTCAAAAATTCTTAAATACGTCATTGCATTCTTAACCTTATTTTTCATACTTAACATTTTCTTCTGAAACAGGTGAATGTGAAAAAGTTGCTTCTTATTATCGCTTCATTGTATCACGCAACAAATTCTACTTATATTGTTTAGAAAGCAACGTTTCCATATGGCTTATAAAATTTATGATTAAACCAAGTCAAATCTGTTTCTCTTATGTTCTTTGCCTATATAAGCGGTTTTGCTATGGAAGCGAGATGTAGAAAAGACATATAGCATGGAAATCCCAGCACAGCAATTCTGTTGTGAGAACCCGCGTGGTTCAATGGAAGAAGTTATTGAT